GCTGCCGGAATGGGCCATAGGCCCAGGGTGCCAGATCTTTCGTTTTTTAAAAGAGACATATGAAAGTCTGATTTTTATATGCAATCTCCCAATTTGTGTTGGCGAGTCATTCAAACCCGCAGACATTCTGCAGGCTAAAATCAGCCAGCGGGCGTCCAGTTTGCAAACCCTACTCTAAGGAAATCTGTAAATGAAGTCATCAGGAGAGGCCCAAGGAGGAGGGGGGCCCAGAGACAGGCCTTAATGATGGGCAGGGAGGAGAGAGGGAAGGCAAACTTTCACTTTCTGGAAGGGATCATACCCTTTTGCCTCAGGCCCTTTTCACAGGAGGTTGCCTACCGTATTTCTCCCAGATAATTCCTAATCATTCAGTTTTTATTTATTCATCTGATACGAGGTCTCCCTCTGTCCCCCAGGCTGGAGTGGAGTGGCACCATCACAGCTTCCTGCAGCTTTGAACTCCCTGAGCTCAAGCGATCCTCCCACCTCAGCCTCCTAAGTAGCTGGACTAGGGGTGCACGCCACCACGCCCTGTAGTCTCGCACTAATTTTTCTATTTTTTGTAGAGACAGGGTCGCGCTATGTTGCTCAGGCTGGTCTCAAACTCCTGGCCTCAAGTGATCCTCCCACTCAGCCTTCCCAAGCTGCGGCATTACAGGCGTGAGCCACTGCTCCCAGACAGTTCTCCATTTAAACAGTTCTGCCTCTAGGAAGACTTCCCTGTCCACCCCTTTCCAGCTGGAGGTAGATTACACTCTGCATTCTCAGCCATCTCTATATGTTCCCCCATCATAACACTCGTTACAATTGTCTGTCAGGATGGTGGTGTACTGTTGGCATCCACAGCACCTGAATCGTAGTGCGTGGTGCATAGGAGACAGCTTATTATGATACGCAGAATAATTGCTGAGTGAAGACATAAAAGAGGCTTTCCAGTGTAGACAGGTATAGGAACAACACCACGAACCACAAGTCCCAGCGGAAATAAACACGTCTCCCACCCTGTACCCATAGTCCCTGTTGCTCCTTTGTCTCTGCAGCAAGTCAAAACACGCTGAGATTTCAGAATTACAGCGCCGTCCCTCAACTACCAAACACTACACCTTGCCATCCCACCCTCCGCGAGCCTGAACAGCCAGTGACCCTCAGGGCCCCAGCATGACAGCATCCTCCCTGGGCTCAGAGATGACCATCCTTTTGCCATCGAAGCGGCTGCCACTCCGACAGGCAGACCAGACCCCCGGAGAAAGCGTCAGAGCCGATCTCTCTCGTGTGGTGTGTGTGTGCACACACGTGCGGTGGGAGCGAATGGAAGTCATATCCTCTGTGAGCCCCACGCGCGACATCCGCTGGAGGGGTTTGCCTCCCGCTTCAGCCACCAGCGCTAGAGCAGCGCAAGGTCGCCTTTGCGCGAGCGACCGGCCGGGAGAACGGGCGGGGCGCGGGACGCGGCCTGTCCCGGCTGTCCGTCAGGAGCAGCGCTCACGCGCTTCCACGGGCCGCCGCCCTGTCGCTGACGCGCCTGTCGTCTGCCTCCCCAGATGGATCCCTGCAGAGACCCGTGCAGTCGGGCGTGCGCGCCCTCGTGCTGGGCTCCCTCCGACGCAGCCCCACCGTGGTCGTGCGGCCCCAGCAGCTCCCGTTCTACCAGCCGCACGGGGGCCCCGCCTCGCCGGCGGTGGAGACGGGCCCCAAGCCCGCGCCCACGGGGGAGCCGGCCCTCACGGGCGTCAGCAGGGCCGGCGACGCCCGCACGCACTCGGCCGCCAGCTCCCTCATCGTGGAAGGCAAGGACATCCCCGCCAAGAGCGAGCCTCCGCCGAAGCCGCCGGCGTCCGCGCCGCCGTCCATCCTGGTGAAACCAGAAAACTCAAGAAATGGCACCGAAAAGGTAGGCGTGGCGTGTCACTGGGGGCCTGACCCTGTAGACCCGCAGTTTGCACCGTGTCCCGGCCCCTGGGATATCAGTGTCAGCGGACGAGGAACCAAACCTGCAGCCGCAAATGAACCCTCACACACGACATCCCCCAACACACGCACAGCCTCATGCCTCTACCGCCCTCCCTGGCTGGGTTGCCCGTTCTCCTTTGAGCCTCCCAGATATTTCATACCAACTACCGTTGGCTCTGTCTGGCGTGCTCCTTATCATCTCAAGCTGAACTCTGATGCACTTAAATCCGCCTGTGTCTCAGTTGCCTCTTTTATACCATGAATAATTACGTGCCAAGCCCTATGTAAGCACATCACATATCTCATTTCATCCCCACTCCAGTCCTATTTGGCCATTCCTATTCTTCCCTGCATTTAACAGGTTAGGCAAAAAAAAAAAAAAAAATCCCAGAAGGGTAAAGTGTTTTGGCCGAAGATGCCAAAGCCACGTTTTCCTCACGCCACTCTGGGCCTCAGAGGAAGTACGTATCA